AAAAAATTAATATAGTAAATGAAAAAATAAAATAAGCAAGTTTTACTAAAATGAAAACTCTAAAGTTGCGATAAAGTTTTGACATTTAACATTGTAAAATAATAAGTTACTTTAAATTCAATTGAATATTTTAGGCTAATTTTATATTTTATAAAAGCTACAACAATGTAGAGTTTTCCATAGCAAACAGAGCAAAAGAAAATGATAAACTGCAGAAATGATAAAAGTATAAAAAGTTCTTCTTATCAATTTTCTAATAAAAGAATATTAAAGATTAAAAGAAAATTTTTTATATTTAATAAATAATCTAAAAACACACTAATTGTTATTTTAACATTCAGTTATGAATTTATGAATAAAATTTATGAAAAATAATAATTATTATGTTAATAAATATTACGATGATAACAAGGTAATAAAAATAAAAATTAAGAATTAAATACTTCAAATAATAATTTAGTGGACTAATTTTAAAGTTTTTCAAAAGACCCAGGGGGCCGTGGTCCCTCATATCTCCACATAGCTCCGCCACTGCATATAAAGAGAGTTTTTATGGTACTATTCTACCAATCCAAGATTAAAGAGAAAATAAGTAGACAGAGATGTAAGTGCACTGTTTAGGATGAAGTAATCTTCAGGGAATGCTAAGCCAAATCCCATGAGAATTTCAAAACAGCTGCCTGAGCAACCATCCTCATGGACGATTTCCAATTCATGCATAACTCATCATGAGGCGTCAAAGAAGGTGAGATGATAGTAGAACAAAGCTTATCCAACCCAGCTTATGATCAACTATTTAAATCAAAGATCACATGTTCATAAGATATGGCCATCTCATACTAGTAAGGAAAAAGCTCTAAAACATCTAAAGTACAGGACTAAACATATAAACAACTTTTATTTACATTGGCACTTGGTAAGAGATTTTTTGGAGCCATGATACTTTGATTCCACTTTTAAAAATACAAACCAATGATGTAGCTCATACTTCATGAAATACAGGTCTACAATGAACAAACTGTAAGCAGAATTACCATTAAAGGAGAAATAATTAATAATATAAACATTAACTCCACACATTAACTAATAAACTTCAACAAGAGACTGCCGAATGTAACAATGTAACATACTTTATCACTTGACTAGTTGACAACAATGACAATCAGAGATGGTCAAATTATAACGGAGTATTTACAATTTAACAAGCTCCATGTTCCTTGTTGTCCAGATTAAGTCCATAAAACCAGCAAATTGATTCTCCTGATTTCCAACAAGCCCACTAAAATGCAAGTGGAACCCCTTCAACTGAGATTAATGGAAGTACGACCTCATACAAGCTCCAAAGGCTTTGACTTTGAATTGACATAACTAATTTGCTTACAACATTTAGAATAAATAAATCAAGAAAAAAGAAATCCCTAACAATTCAATCCTACTTTAAATTTGGGTTTGTTGTTTAAAAGACTTGATTGACAAAGCAACACATGTTAGATACTTTGATGTGCAAGTATCAAAAGGCCATTTTTATCATTGTCTACAACATCATAAAATGTCAACAATAACATGTTAGAATCAATTCTCCTAACCTGCAGAGAATTCAAATCTTAAACACTAAGACTCTTAGTTCTTGCCTTCAAAAATTAGTTTGAACACATATCATAAAAGATGCACTACCATTATGCCAACTGACTCATATATAGAATATTAGTAAATATTTGTACTTTTGTCATCGTTTTTGTCCTTTTTTTCCCTCTTGAATCATAAAGCTTTAAATTAACATGGCAAAATCTAGGTCAGAAGTTGATGAAATGAAAGAAAACTAAATCTAGAAAGGGTGATGAAATTAAGACCATAGGGTAATTTTTATCAATGAGTAACTCATCAATGAAGAATCCTGAATATTTAATCTTAACCAATCCAATACCAGCTTTGCTGCCTCCCATGGATAAAACAAGGATATGGATTAAAAGAATTTAAGGTCCACCAGTTGACAGACTTGGATGACCCTGTACCCTCGAAATGGAAACAGATAAGTTGGACGCAGTTGTATATTTGTCTGGATTGCTTCTTCATGGCCTTGATGGTGCTGATAACACATATTGCTAAAAAAAAGCAGGTAACGACAACAACTTTCATAAATAAATCTTCAAAATCATGCTTTGCACTCAATTGATTCTTAGCTGATTTCAGGTAAAGTCCATGAAAATCTCCGAAAAAGAACATCCTCAATTTTTTTTTTTTTTTTTCATTGTTCAGATAAATATTCCTATCAAGACATTTTATCCACATATGGATCTAAAATGTTAAGAAATGTGAAGTCCAAAAGCGATTACCATCTCTTTCAATAAACAGGACCATCACATTAATGCAATAATGCCTACCATGTACTACAGCAAAGCCCCAGAAGAAAATACACACAATCCATTAATGAGATAAGCATTCCTTTTCCATTCATGCTGCACATATGAAGGTTTTAAATTGATTGAAAACAATAGGGTATTCAGAAAAGAATATAACAATCACATATCTTATGGAAAACAGTTACTCATGTTACCAAAAGCTGTGCAAGAAAATCACTCCAAAAGAGGATACTTTGAAACAATTGGCACCGGAATCTAGAAGGGAAAATCACTTCAGGTCCATCTTCTTTGCTGATTCATCAACTTTCCGGCGGCTAATAACGCCTCGGCAGTCAGCACCACCAACATCAACACAACAAAACTACAGAAACGCCAGCATTTCAAAGCAATGTAGTTGTCCAAACCAAACTCGATTATTTTCTCATTAACTAGGACAATCCCTCGCGAAATGTCCTTCATTTCCACAATTATAACATCTGCCAGCACCACCGCCTCGGCCGCCGCCGCCACCGTCGCCGTATCTCCTACTTCCACCACCAACATCGCCACCACTTCGATAACAATCCCTCGCTAAATGCCCCATCCTTCCACAATTATAACACGCGCCACCGCCACCATAACCATCTTGCCTATAACCGCCACCCCTGCCTCTCCCGGCGAAAGATCCCCCTCTCCCGCCACCGCGGGAGCCGCGTGAGGGGCGGCGAAATTGGTGGATTGCTGATACGTCAACAGCCTTCGCCCGCCCATCCTCAGCGTAATCGACGGTGAATTCCACGGGCTGGTTTTCTGACAAGGTACGAAAGCCTTGAGACCGGATGGAAGTCTGATGAACAAAGAGATCATCCCCACCGTCATCTGGAGCTATGAAGCCGAAACCTCTTTGCGCGCTGAACCATTTGACAGTGCCCGTCGATCTCGCCGCTTCGGCCATTGCCTTCCCGAAGATCGTGGAAGTTACTGGAAGCTTCTAAAGCTGTGTAAATGGTTGGCAGAGGAGAAGTGGATAAGCATATGTGCGGTTTTTGAGGGGTGGGTAGGGGACCAGTTGGAGAGGATCCAACGGTAAGTAAGTGGTTTTGGATCGTATCATACGGTTCAGAATCTTCCTTGCGTTATCCATCTGGGTTGACTGCCTCAATTTCGTTCTTCCCATTTTTTTCGTCGTTATTCGGGATTTTTGCCATAATTTTTTTACGTAAAGATTAGATATGAATCTAAAATTTTATAGTTAAGAATATGTATAATTTTATTATAA